TGTAAGCCGCATCGAATCCCTTGGGAGATGCTAGTGGGGTACAAATCAAGTTATAATATAATATAATAATAATAATTTTCTTCCTGCTGGACAAGATTATGAGACATTTTGCTTAGATTTTTTTCTGAAATATTTGGGAACTTTTTGGTAAAAATTATTCATATGAAATATCATGAAAGACATGGTTTTAGATTAAAAATATATAAGCCACCTATATAAGCCACAGGCTTCTCTACAAAACTCACAAAATACAAAATATTTTGTAGCTTTTTTTAGTTTATTTGGCAGGGTGTCTTGAGGCACCTTTCTTGTTGTCGCTGAGATGAAATTATATTCCCATTAGCCTCAGTGTTGTTGCTTTTCAAATCTCTTGCGTTACTAAAACTACAACAACCACATTGTCATCACGGGGCATAAAATATTACCCAACATACCCAAAATATTACCACCACCACCACCCCGGTGTCGCAATGGGTTAAACCCTTGTGCTGGCAGGACTGCTGATCAAAAGGTCAGCAGATCGAATCCGGGGAGAAGGATGAGCTCCTGTCTGTCACCTCCAACTTCCCATGCGTGGACATGAGAGAATACTCCCACAAGATGGTAAAACATCTGGGCGTCCCCTGGGCAATGTCCTTGCAGACAGCCAATTCTCTCACACCAGAAGTGACTTGCAGTTTCTCAAGTCGCACCTGACACACAAAAACAACAGCACAGCATTAAAGTATCAAAACACTGAAGTATCAAAAGGAGCGATGGAAATAAAGAAAGCTCTGTTAAATGTCAAGGAAGAAGGGGGGACCCTGAAGGAAGAGAGAAATTGATCATTTTAAGGCAGAAAAATCCCATGTTGCCTCTGTAACTAGAGCAAGAGGATACAATGCATGGGACTGTTTTTTGTTCTTCTGTACCATACAGAGAATGGCATGGACCACATCTCTCTAATTCCACTTTATTCGAACTTAGATCTAACAAACAGAGATTCTGGTGTAGGAAAGCAGAAAGGATCATCTTGCACTTGGCTAACAACCTTGCCTCACAATACACATGTGAGCTTTAGCACATAAGCTCTGGCAAGATCCTAAAGAAACATTTCACTTTGGGACTCTTAAATCCAACATCAAACTCCACTCTTGCAACCGGGGTGCCAAGGCAGACCACAGCACACAGGAGAGAAGGAGAAACTAGTGTTTATGTATAATTCATGGAACTATCTTCTACGCCTCCCTTCTTCTTCCCTACCTACTTTGTCTTGTGCGGATAACTTGGCGAGAATGCATTTTTCTAACTGTCTTCCTTGATCCTACGGTGCATCTAAACTGTAGAATTAATGCAGCTAGATGCCACTTTAACTGCCATGGCTCAATACTAGGAAATCATGAGTATTATAGTTGTACTGGGTCTTTAGTCCTCTTTGCCAATGAGAATCCCAGAATTCAATAGTATGATGTCTTAATGAAATTTGTTTGAATGTTTTCACTTTTGGCATTGAATGTTTGCCATACATGGTGGAAACTGCCCTGAATCCCTTTGTGGAGATAGGAATGTCTATAAATAATAATAATAATAATAATAATAATTATTATTATTATTATTATTATTATTATTAAAGTTGTGTCAAACTGCATTAAATCTGCAGTATAGATACAGTCTACAACAGGGAGAAGTTTCTCCTCACTGCATCTTCTCACCTACTCACCCTGCACGCAGAGGAGAAGTACTAATCCTCATATGCAGGCAAGCTCTGTGGTGGCCAAAACACGAGTGAGACTCCACTACAACCACTGGTCAAATACTTGCGAACCTCTGCCTTGCTGGATCACAGCCCTGATGCATGGAGCAAGCCACTGCATATGGAATGTTTCACTATAAGCACTAAGCACTAAGGAGTATGCATGCTCAAAGTCATAGAAATTCTGATGGAGTGCTTCATGTACGAAAGTACATGAAGAGCTACAAAAAATTTTGAAGAGAGTTTTTAAGAAGAAACCAGAATATTATCTATTGGGATTTACAGATTTGGAATTACAATTAGATGAGAACGAAGATAGACTATTTACCTATGCTACAACAGCGGCGAGAATATTATTGGCGAGGTTTTGGAAACAGGAAGATATCCCTACCACTGAAGAGTGGTTAGGGAAATTAAGAGAAATAAGAGAAATGGACGAATTAACTTTTTTCTTGAAAAAGAATACCGGGAACCCGATAAAGAGGACAGATTGGACTCTATATGAAAATTACGAAAAGGAAATAAATAAATAAGAGGAATACTATGAAGAGGATATAATGGAAATATCATTGAGGACACAACACCTGATGGAGAGATGGAAGTCAATTTTTATTTTATATTTTTTTCTCCTTTTTTTCTTTTTTTTCTTTTTTTTCTTTTTTTTATTTTGTGTGGCTTTTATATTTTTGCATTTTTTTCTGGTGGACTTGGGGGTAGGGGGATGTATTTCTTACTTTTTTCCTACTTTCCTATCATCTTTTTTTAATATTCTCCCTCTTTCGATGTTATTTTTTTAAAACCTTAATAAAAACTATTATAAAAAAAAAAGAGAAATTCTGATGGAGTGCTTAGCATAAGAGTAATACTCCATTTTCACTAGCCCTTCTTTCCTCTCTTGAGCTCACAAATATCTATTCTACATGCAGATTCAGGGATTATGTTTCAGCTCTTTCCTTTTTGCTCATTGTTCTCTGTCTATGATCCCTTCCTGCCAGAGAAGAGAATTACTTTACAGTTGGCCTGCTCAACTTCTGGCTCTACAGGTGTTTGGGCCTTCAACTCTCAGAAGCCTAGCCAGCTTGTCCAATGCAAAGGAATTCTGGAAACTGAAGTCCAAATCACCTGGAGGGCAACAGACTGGACAGGCCAGCTCTATAGACTTCTTTCCTACAGGGAGAGGATCTGCTCCATGTACCAACCATAAGGGAGGCTCATCTTGTGATTCTACTAGCACTCTTTGCCCTCCATCCCTCTGCCCCCAAGAGAAACCTTGTGAGCCCTCATAAAGTTCCTGAATGTTCCTTGGAGTAACAGGGCTTCAGCTCTTGTACATAACAATAATTCTTTTGTTTCTGAAACTGTATAGAAGGCACTTCTCTCACCACTCAACTACTACTATTCAAGAAGTCAGGATGCCAATATCAATTTTGCTTCCACTTTTCCCGACATCTGTCACAATTCATGGAAAGATAAATATTCCTGTTTCCTTCAGTTAAAACAAACCCCAACAACTTATCAAACATTCACAGTCTTATAAATGGCCCCCAACATCACTAATCGTTACACCCTTAGTAGTGCAACCCTAAGAAAGATGACATGGAAACTAGCTGAATTGGAATTCAAACGTTTCTCCATCTATGATCCACCTCAGAGGTTAAGAACATCGTGGGAGACCCTGCTCTCAGTCCCATCTCCTTCTCAGGCAAAGTTGGTGGGGAGAGAGATAGGGCCTTTTCAGTGTCAGCCCCTTGTCTATGGAACTCCCTCCCCAGTGAAATTAGATCAGCCCTGTCCCTCCTGATGATAACGAGCACGAAAAAACTAAAAACATGGCTATGGGACCAAGCCTTTGGTCAATAACTTTGAGCAGTGTAATAAGAGATTACGAAACAACACAACGACAAACGGAACAGCACTGGAATATGATTTGGATTGCATGGTTTTAATTGATGTTATAATGTTTGAAGTTTTTTTTAACTATTTTGGATTTTAATGTATTTGTTTATTTTATTCATATTTTATTGATATGTATATATGTGGCATTGAATTGTTGTCTTCGTAAGGCCACTCTGGGTCCCCTTTAGAGTGAGAAGGGTGGGGTACATGTGTGGTAAATAAAATAAATCTATATAAATAAAAATGTAATGTTAGTTTGTGGGATTAACATAACTCAAAAGCCACCGGACAAATTGACACCAAATTTGGACACAAGGCACCTATCAACCCAACAAGTGACCATCACTCATAAAAACAACAAAAAACAGTGAAAGAGACTTAAAAGGCCAAAAAACAAAAAATACATTACAACACATACATAAAACCACGTACTGTATATACACACAAACACACAGATATACACATATAAACAAATATATATACACACACATATACAACATATACACACTAAACACATATATACAGACTGGGCCACAACAACGCGTGGCTGGGGACGGCTAGTAATAAATAAATAAATCAGCCATTTTGCCTCTGAATACACTTAAGATTGGATTGTTAAAATTAATTGAGTCATTCATTGTAGATTTTAGCATGGATAAAGCATGGCTTCTGTGTCATTCCAGCAAGAAGACATGAGAAAGGGTACACATTCATGTGCTCACATGTTCAACAAGTTGAACAATGGGAAGGTAAGAAAGGGGCCAGTCTCATTGACCTTGCTCTCTCTCTCTATTGTTTCGATGGCTCAGCTGCTATCATCTCCTTAAACAGAAGGATTGATTGGGATGAGGGGATCTACAATACACTTGGTAACCATTGGGTTTTGTTCCAGGATTTCTCTCCATGAACACCAACATCCATAGATGTTCAGATCCTATTATATACAACGATATAGAAAAATTATGTTCTTTATATAGAATGACAAAATGAAGGCTAGCTTTTTTGGATTTAATTTTTTTTTCAAGCACTGGTTGTGAAATCCATGGATTTGAAGGGTAAACTGTACTCATTTAAGATCTCTGATCTACTCAGAGCCCAACAGAATCAGGTTTCTTAATCATATGGGAACTCACAGATTCTATGTAAAGCAGACTTTGCACTAAAGAAGATACCCATTCAATATGTGGATGGCGATGAACTCAAACTACCACAGCAATAGGGAATGCTTGCCCTTTGCATAATTTTTTTAACTTCAAAATTGTTCAACCAAGCGTTAGAATTCACTCTACTACACAGCATCCCTGTAAACCTACAACAGACTTTACAATTCTCGAGACAGCATTGAGCAGGAATATAATGTTTGTGAACTGACCTTCATAAGGTGCTGGTTTATCCATTTTGTGAATGTTTTCTTTTGTACTTTGTCCCTTTCATCTGAAAAAGAGAACAAGACAGGAAAAGCCTTAATATTTAGAAAATAACACTCAATGAAGACTTAGCAGTGATGTGTTGAAAAGTCTCACAATACTTAAGAAAAAAATGAAAAAATGCAATTATTCATTATTAATTAGCAATAATTTCTTGCAACAGATGTCCACACAAGCTTATAATAATTAATTCATCTGCATCTGTTGTAAGAAATTGTTAGAACGACAGTTGTTAAGTTAAGGAGTGGGGAAATGAAAACCAAATATGCTGATGGGTTGTGAAGTCCTAATGAAAAGATGCACCATCTGCGAGTACTTAGGATTAGTGGCTAGCCTCTTCTGCTGGCAAAAATGCCTTTCTGTTGACAGACTCTTCTACCAATTGATCTGAGAGATCTGCTGACAAGAGAAATCTGTCCATAAAACTGTTCTGTTCGTTAAGATCTGCCAAGAGAAGAGGCAAAAAGTGAACAGAGAAGGGGAAAGACATAGAAGGAACTGGATGACTCTCCAGACAAACCTCCTTCAGTCCAGAGACAGCCAAAATGCCAGCGTAAAGTAGGCCATAGAGAGGTAGTCCTAAGTAATTTCAAGCATCCATTAATTGAATTAGCAAAGTTTCAACTATCGTATCTAATGTCAGCTTGCACTTGGTCATCTTACCATTTGAAAACGAACTCTAATTATGGGGTGGGGAGACTCTGCTAGCAAAGACACATTTTGGCTGGCATTCTGATGGTAGCATGCGTATGCCAAAATTTCCCTTGAGCCAACAGCAAAATAATTATCGGAGAGTATAGAAACTCACCCAGTTGTGGCACTAAAGAACAAAGAATTTCAATTCCTTCCTCAACCATATGCACACCACACTCAAGGACAGAGATTAGAATTGTAATCTTCCAGGTGTCTTATTTATTTATTTGTTTGTTTGTTTATTTATTTGCTGCATTTATATACCGCTTTTCTCACCCCTGGAGTAAGTCAAAGCGGTGTACACCATGTAAATGACAAGATTCAATGCCAACATATATACAAAACCAAAGCATAATAACTAAAACAATTACATATAACTATAAATTAAACCATTAAAATCATATTAAAAATAGAACAGAAACAAATATTTAGACAATTAAAACACAGAATTAAAAACATCTTAGTATTAATATTAAAATCACATGATCCAAAATTTTTGGCTCACAATGCCCATAATTCACAGGCTAAGGGATTATGAGAGTTGCAGTTCCAAAATGTTTAAAGAGCTACACGTCTCCCCCCAAAGCTTGATGTGGTGCATGACAAATTGCACAAAGTTGACACCTATATTGCAAACACATGGATTATTTTAGTGACATTGCTGTTGCTGCTCAGAGAATGAAAAGGAGAAGCTACACCACCACAGTTTTAAATAATACCTTCACATCACACCGTACTTCCCAAAATTAAATAAAAAATAAAACCCTTATTGAAGAACTCCGTTGTGACTTCCTCATTCCTCTCTAGCATACCAAAATTTCACTGGCCAGAAGCAGGGCAGGAAATATGTTCCCATAAGAACTTCAGAAATTCTTTTAAAATTCCCCCTTGCTACTTTGAGATTAAGCTATTTATTCTAACTTGACAGTTTTATAATATTCCTCTTTTAAAAACATGTTATATTTAAGAGTATTGTCATGACAGCTATAAAGAAGGAAAGGCACTGTTTGATAAAGACCTTTTTTATGAACCAAACTTACTTTGAGACGAAGCTATTTATTCTAACGTGACAATTTTACAATATGTGTCTTATCAAAAATGTATGACATTTAAGAAGTAAAGACACTGTTTAATAATGACATTTTGTAAAAAAGGACACATTAATAAATCTTAGGCTTATACCCTCAAAACACTGGCAAAGGTTCACAGAGGCCATGTTCCCTGTCCTCCTTTCCTCACTGTGGTCACTACAACTCTCTCTTTGGAGCCTTCAATTCATTTGCATGGTTCAGAGGTCCTAAATAATGGTGGGACTGCTTGGAGAGGAAAAATCACCCAAACTAGTATTCCATCCTCGGGTAAGGGATTGTACAGAAGGAAAGCTTTCAAAACCCTCCTCTTCTGCCTCATAGCATTCAAAGCTCCATCCCACACGGTCCAGGTCCAGGAAGGAACCAGACCTCCAAAGAGTCACAAATGACTGGAGGAGAAAAGCAATGTGTTGTCTTTCCAACTTCCTTAACATACATAAGCCAGCAAGCCATTCTCTAATACTTTCAGTTAAGCCATTATCATAAAGTATAAATTGGAGACAAAAAGACTGAAACTCATGTTTTAGAATAAAGGACCGAGTTTAGCACAGTGGTTTGAACGACCAAGTTGCTGAAAATCCTGCCGATCGAAAGGTTGGCAGTTCAAGACCAGGTCAGGGTAAGCTCCCGCCACCAGCCCCAGCTTCTACTCACTTAACAGATTGAAAACAGCAATGTGGGTCGATAAATAGGTACCACTTTAAAGCGGAGAGGTAATAAAAGCACCCATAAGGTCATGCCGGCAACTCGATAGGGAGGACGTCTACAGACAACAAAGCTCCTCGGCATGGAAGATGGAGCAACAGCACCTCCCCGTGGTCTCCAGATGCAGGAGATGGGAAAAGATGGGAAAGCCTTTACATCTGTTTATGTATTGTTTGTCCTTGTTAGTTGTATAACAGCGTTGAATGTTGCAATATATATGTTCTGTAATCCGCCCTGAGTCCCCTCGGGGAGATAAAGAGGAATATAAATTGTATTATTATTATTATTATTATTATTATTATTATTGGAATTTCCTTGCTCTAGAAGCAAACTGGGATGTGGAAACTAACTTGTGGCTTAATGTTTAGCAGTCTCCTTCGATGGGAAGCAGTAAAATGGAGTAAAGTCAGATGTAAACACATCAAACTAAGAGGTAAACATGTAAGTTTGACAGACCACAGCACATTCCAAAACAATCAGGAGCAAAGAGGAAAGTTCAGGAAGAAGACTGTTTTATGGGGTAGTCTTACACATGTCAAGGCAAAATGCAACATTCTCATTCCAAGTAATCAGGCAGTCTCTCTCTCTTATATAATATTGTATGCATATGTATAACATAAAATAAAAGTACAACTGATTCCATATACTGGAAAAAAGCTCCAAAGGACAATGGCATGCTTGTAAATACAGCCCAAAGACAAACGCAGAAACTTTCCCAAAGCAATGAAATTCAAAATGAAACAATAACTACGACACAGATACTTTTGTACTAACCCATGCAGCACATTAGTTCCAATAGTTTTGTATTCCACTCTTGCTTGTGTCTAAAGAGCTGCCCCATCATTCTGGAGCATAGACAGTGCGCTACTGAGTTTCTTAAACTCTTCAATCTCGCATTACAAAGTATGTATAGGAAGCAGAATATTTGTGTTGTTGAGAAAGAATGGTGCCTTCTGGTAGAAAAGAAAACAGTAGGAACTCCCTCTTTAAAACAAACATTAGCACTTGCCAGCCCGCTGCAGCATACAAGATAATGGCCCTGTATTCGATATTTCACAACAGAAGCACTCCATAATGAAACACGGCATTTCAAACTGTGTACTCTTCAAAGCTGAGCTTTTGGGGCTGCATTCAGCATAATTGTGGGGTGATGTGAGTTTTCCGGGCTGTATAGCCAAATTCCAGAAGCATAATTGTTGCTATTGTTGTTTGCTTTCAATACATTTCTGACTTATAGAGACCCTAAGGTGAACCTATCAAAGGGTGTTTTCCTTTTGACAAGATATGTTCAGATGTACTAATACTATTTTTTCCATTGGGAGAGAAATGCCCATTGCACACTTTGCCAGTTCTGAGATTGTTTTTAATGAGCCCATAATACTGTAATTGGAAGATCTAGTGCTTCTAGCGAGTCCTTTTAATGTATGTTTAAACATGCAGCAAGTGAGACATCTGAGAGACAGCATGGTGTGATGGTTTGAGACTTGGACTATGAACAGAGTTCAGCTCCCTAATCAGCCATGGAAATCCACTGGATCACCTTGGACAAGTCACACTCTCTTGGGTTCAGAGGAAGGCAAAGTAAAATCCCCTCTGAACAAATCCTGCCAAGAAGATCCTGATTTGCCCTAGGGTCACCAAATGTCAAGCACAGAACAAGAAAGTGGGACACCACCCAAAGCAGAAACACATTAGACTGTAAGTGAAAAATGCAGTCCCTTGCAAGTTTTTAGGAAGGAAAGAAATAAACAATTGCAGACAATAAACAGAAATATGGTACCAGTCCCTGGCACATTAGGAAAAACTGCCAACCTTTCATATTGAGGTAGCTTGAAATTCACAAACCAACACTTTATATGAAATCTGATAGACTGGCAAATAGAGGGAGAAAGTGTGGAGGCAGTGACAGACTTTGTATTTCTAGGAGCAAAGATTACTGCAGACGCAGACTGCAGCCAGGAAGTCAGGAGACGCTTACTTCTTGGGAGGAGAGCAATGACCAATCTCAATAAAATAGTGAAGAGTAAAGAACTCATCACACTGGCAACAAAGATCCGCATAGTTAAAACAATGGTATTCCCCATAGTAACCTATGGACATGAGAGCTGGACCATAAGGAAGGCCAAGCGAAGGAAGATAGAAGTTTTTGAACTGTGATGTTGGAGGAAAATTCTGAGAATGCCGTGGACCACAAGAAGATCCAAGCAGTCCATACTCCAGGAAATAATTCCCAGATGCTCCCTGGAGGAAAGGATAGTAGAGGTGAAGATGAAGTACTTTGGCCACATAATGAAAAGACAGGAAAACTCAGAGAAGATAATGATGCTGGGGAAAATGGAAGGAAAAAGGAAGAGGGACCGACCAAGGGCAAGATGGATGGATCGTATCCTTGAAGTGACTGGCTTGAACTTGAAGGAGCTGGGGGTGGCCACGGCCGCCAAAGCGTGGACTGGTCCATGAGGTCACAAGAAGCTGGAAGTGTCTGAACAAATAAACAACAACACGATACACTGAAACC